ACCTGACATCACTAAATGTGACAGAAGCTGCACGGCACCATTGTGTGGAGAAGGTGCCGAAAGAGCTGCAGCTAGTTTTTTTTTTTTCTTCAATGATGGGATTTCAACAAATTCTGATACCATAATTAATAATGTGCATTATCCCATCCTTTAGTGTATGTTACTGTACATCTTTATAACTAATCTGCGAACTGAATTTATTGAGAAGATATCAGTACTGGGTGATCATGCTGACAATGGTCTTTACGTAGAATCTGACTCTGACCATACACTAATTCAGTATTTCTATATGTAAAATAAAGCTCTCTTCTTTTCTTCCTCAAGACTCGCTTCAAAAATTCCTACATTTCTTAACATTTCATCAACCATAGCTTTGGAACCACACATCCAGTTCACTTCACCCTAGTACTGTTGGTGAGCTAATCAACTAGAAAATTCATCCGGCAGCTTCAGACTCATTTGATGTCAGACCACAAATCTAAGCAGACCTGCTCACTCAAATGATATTTTGATTGTACATAAGGGCTGTTTTTTGGGACACATTAAAAATTGTCCTTGATAAAACAGATGAACCAGGGAGAAGCAAGCCAATATAAAAAAAAATTCATGCATTTTTGTGCTGAACTTAAGATTTCAATCTCAGTTCCATATCTGAGCTGCTACTTAGGAGTAAAGTTGAGTTAAAACCAAGGGTGATTGGCTTAACTTCTGGTCAAAATCAATTCTATACACAAATTCAAGGATGCAATAACAAGGTCTAGATGAACACTCACATCCCCATCTCAAAATTAAAATACTACTATGATATGATTTTAAAGTTAAAGAACACGTCTAATCACTTCTCGTCCATCCTCCCCCACTAAAAGCTGCGACACTGTCACATAATCATAATGATAATCAGAATCAATCAGGAGAATAATACAATTGGGAGCCAACCCTATTTCTCGAAAAAGATCAATATGAGAGTCAAATAGAAACACTGCTATATCTATGGGGTTGTGGTATTCTATCAGACCTGTAAATTTTGTAGATCCATCACAGTTTTTGATATCCCATGCATAATATAAGAAGGGAATAGTCAAGAATATAGTTTACTTAAATACTTTGTCTTGGACCCAAAACACTTATTTATGCAACATTGTGCATTGACACTTCAGCTTTGGTGATTGTTGTGGTCCATTTGGACAGAGGTACATACCTGAACCCATAATATACACTCTGTCCATTTTATACTTATTACTGACATATAACACTTTGCACTTAACTGTGTGACAGTATTCGTCTTATTAATAATGATTGTAAATCATCAACAACTTCGACATATAAATTACTATTGTATAATAACAACTGTTTATCAAAGGAAGTTGTTCAAAACTGCTATTTGCCATTTTCCTAAAGCAGCTGGACCAAGCAGATTGTGCTGTGCTAGTTAGTGGCTGTCCTAAAGCTCTCAAGGATATTCACAAGGCCACCCAAAGAAAGCTGCTTTGGTACCTAGAACATGACTTCGCATCATTTCACCTCAAACTGCAGTCCGAGCCAGCTTTTTTCCTTTTGTCTATGCGTTTTGTGCACTGCCATAGTCAACTCGCACTCTCTATTACGACCGTCAGCTGATCACTGGTTCTTACGATAGGAGTCTTCCACGTTGATCCTCATCTTGTTGAAGGCTTCCGTCTTTACAAAGTCGACCGTCTTGTACACTACTGAGGGAGCAGAAGCCCCGGCACAATTCTTCAGCGTACTTGCCTTGATGGATTTAGGACTGTGCTTGGCTTCTGGATGTAGGTCCAAGTCTAAATACTGGATTTCATGTTGAGAACGGCGTGCACTCTGCAAGGGAAAGAAAATCTGAAACGAACGAGAGGAGGAAAAAGCATGCATTAGTTCCTGAAGCCAAACACCACCAGCCAAACATGCTTACATATAACAAATGATGTGGAAAAGGTAGGGAAGAAATAAATAATTATGGATGACAGCCACTGGGAATTCTCAGATGAAAAGAACACGAACTGAGTGAAAAAGAAGACAAAGAAGAGGAGGAGGAGGAGGAGGAGGAAAAGGAGAAGCAGAAGGAGAAAAAGGAGAAGAAGAAGAGGAAAAAGGAGGAGGAGGGGGGGAGGGGGAGGGGGAGGAGGAAGAGGAAGAGGAAAAAGTAGGAGGAGGAAGAAGAGGAAAAGGGAGGAGGAAGAAGAGGAAAAAGGAGGAGGAGGAAGAAGAGGAAGAAGAAGAGGAAAAAGGAGGAGGGAGGGGGGGAGGAGGAGGAGGAGGAGGAGGAGGAGGAGGAGGAGGAGGAGGAGGAGGAGGAGGAGGAGGAGGAGGAGGAAGAAGAGGAGGAGGAGGGGGGGAGGAGGAGGAAGAGGAAGAAGAGGAAAATAGAGGAGGAGGAGGAGGAGGAAGAGGAAGAAGAGGAAAATAGAGGAGGAGGAGGAGGAGGAGGGGCAAGGAGGAGGAGGAGAAGGGGGGAGGAGGAGGAGGTAGTTAACCTTTTGTATGTGGCATATGCACTTTCCACTGTCATGGAGTCACAATGAGTAGCCCAACATGACCTCATCTGATTTCTTCTTTTCTTGATTTCTTTTTTAGATTTATAAAACTAATGCTTTTAATGTCCATCCAGATTTCTTTAAAATTAAATATATAATAATCATATTATGAACACAATCAAGCTAGCATTCACTTAATTATTTTTAGTTTCTTATTTCATCATATCCATTTAATAATCTACTCAAAATAACATACCAAATACTAGGCCAAACAAAAGTCTAAATGTAATAGTGTTAAGAAAAGAAAAGAAAAGAAAAAAAATGAAAGGAAAAGAAAAGAGAGAAAGAGAAAGAGAAAAGGATAAGAAAAAAGAAAAGAAAAAAGAAAAAAGATAATAGAAAAGAAAAGAAAAGAGAGAAAGAGAAAGAAAAAAAGAAAAGAAAAAAAGAAAAGAAAAGAAAAAAAGCTGTTCCTGTAATGTCACTGCACACAACAGAAAAGGGCAGCCAAATACCATGCACTATGCAGATTAATCATGCAACGAAAACCCATTAACATGGATTTACAAAGCAATTTCATGCAATTTCATGTGGAACCTCTTGTTAATATATTCATTGCAAAATACACTTGTTGCAACAATAATCAAGGATGGCATTACAAAAAAGGGGGATTTCAGTTCCATGCTTCCCAATCTGCAGTATCTCAGTGCTCCCTATTCTACATACCAGTAAAAATAAAAAAATAAACATTATGAACCTATGAATACTCTCTTTATGTTTTACTAATGATTTTAAACTGCATAACACAAAAAAATTATAATAAAACAGATCTTTAACAGCAGGCAATTCGTTATCTTTTTTACTGGTCATATTTACTGACCATGACTACTTGCCTTTCCTATAAATTTACCTATCATGATGTAAAATGTTATCTTTCTCTGCATAGAACTCAATCTAAAGGAAGTCTCCCACTAGCTAGTCACTTCTAAGGCATGTCTATGTGGCACACTTATAGTGAGACTGACCTGCTCGTCTGCATTGGTTGAGTTGCGTCTGCTGCCTGGACTAGAAAGTCTATCGGCTTCGTCACCACTCTCATTCCCATTACATCCATTGCGCATAGTCGGAGGAGTTGGAGAAGGCGCAGCTCTTGGCTTTCTTTGATCGTGCTTTCTGTGGCCGACTGGGGCTGGGTCAAGAACAAACAAGGGTTTGCTTCCCGCATCAGGTATATTCTTTGTGGGCTTTAAATTTCTGTCTACCATGGGCGGTGCTGATGCAGGTGGCACTGGTGATCCACCCACAGCGCCCAGCATTTCCTGGGGGCCACCAGATGGAGGTGGTGACAGCTCTGAACTAATACTACTTCCATCAGCAGCTTTCCTTGGCTTAAGCCCACGATCAACTGCCGGGGGATGTTGCGGGCTTTTGTTGGCCTGGGGGATGTTAGAGTAAAGGCCAGCAGGTGAGATCCTTGGATCCAGCTCCCCGTGCTTTTCAACTGTGTCATGAATACGCATGTCGTAAGAAAATATCTGACCTTGGACAGAGGGCGAAACAAAGTTATTGTAACAGTGTCTTTGCTTCAGCCTATCTGCAGCCTGTGGACTCACAGTCTCTTGCTGTGTCATCCTCAAGGCAGAGTGCATATCTTCAGTGTCAAGCGGAGTGGACGGAGGCACAGAACTGCTGACTGAAGCTGGGGAAGGCTCTGGGTCAGAAGATCCAATGTTACCATCATGTGAAGACAGTGATCCAGCCAAGCCATTCTTTACTTTATCATTTGAACTGTTCTTTCTAATCAGAGTTGTTCTAACAATAGTGTCCAAGTTCTGATAGGTCTGCTGAGGCATCTCGGTTAAATGTGCTGGCTTTGGGGGCCTTGGGGGAGCTGAACCCTGGTGCTGGTCATCTTCAGAGATTACCATACCTTTCATTTCACTTGATAAACTGGCAACACCACTGCTTCCTGCTAGTCCCCCAGTTGCTCCATGGCTGTCCCAGGGTAAATCCTTTGGATTCGGCATACCTCCAGTAGGTCTAGCCGAGTCACTAAAAAATGTTGCTTCTACTGTGGAAGGAGTGTTAGCCCACTCGTCATCACTGAATACACTACTTCCCTCCGTTCCCAATGGTGACTGGACACTCAGGGTATCCTCAGAGGTTGCCCCCGATGGCCTTAATGTTCGTTGGCCATCGTACGGTTCTCGTGGTATTGCCCCCGTGTTGATCATGGGAGCTGGCGGTGCCTGTGTCAGAGGTGGATGACTGTCGGGACACATGGTTGGTGCTGGCGGAGCAATCTCATTTGGTATGCTAGAGCGATGATTCTCTGTGGACACAATGGTGGGCAGGTCATCACTGAAGGGGAAACTGGGGCTAGTAATTGGGGTTCTCTTCCCGGTGATACATTCGCTTATGGGAATGTACGGCCCAGATATGGAAGAGCTCTGAGACGTGGGTGAGATTGGTGGCGAGTCTATCCGAGGTTGGTCCAGGGGCAGGACGCGGACGGGAGCAGGGGGTGTTGCAGGGATGGTGTTGCCTGGAAGAGGTTCCAAGGCTGGTAATGGGTAATCCTCCTGCTGTGGATACATCTTCAGGCCACATACTTGACACACACAGTCCACCCATCGGTTCATCTCCTGCTCTGTCTCTGCACATAAGTAGTAGATTCTCTTTGGGGTCTTGATGTCAAACATGAATCTGTATTCTGATTTCCGATTAGGAAAGACTATACCAGCATCAACCTGAAATGAGAAAATTTAAAAACTGTAGGATCTGAATAGGAAGATAAATTATTAATCTAATTCTACTCTTAATTATGACACAAATAGTTAAATGGAGTACCTTTACTTCACTAACATCACTTAAACAAAGTTTCAGCTAATAGACTCAATTAAAATTATACTAATACAAACAATTGTATACACACACACACACACACATACACACACACACACACACATACACACACACACACACACATGACTCTGACCATTTTCCCCCTCTAATAACTTACTTTTGCCCTTTGACTTGTTATTTAGGATGGCTAGGAGGACCAGAGGATGTGGAGGACCAACAACTGAGGACGATATTTCACCAGTGGGTGCCATGTGCAAGGCAGACTATTTATTTAAGGACACTTCTTCGGAGACAGGAGTGGGATTCATAAGCATGCAGCACCTTGTGAAACATTTTCGTGAGCACGGGAGAGAATGATTTGACGAGTCTTGAGTGCAAGCATGGTAGATTTAAGTTAATCTCTCCATGGACCCAGAAAATTATAGAAAAGTAGGTAGGTGATAAAAGCTTAGGAAATGAAGGAAAGACACCCACACAACTCTTTGGAAAGGTTTCTTTATGTTGCCTCCAGGACGGTCTCCACAACGATCTGGATTTCCAAAGTTTCTGGGCTTGGAAGAAACCACCACTCAATAATGTCCAGGAAAAGAAATGCATCTCTTTTTCCAAGAAATATTACAAGTGGGACCTTGACACCTGGTGAAGTGTACTTTATTGTAATTGGCAGCTGTGGAAGATCTATCTACCCCCCCCCCCCCCCAGAAAAGATGGCAAAGTACCCTGCTTCCCTAATGAGGTTGCTGCCAACGAGATGAACTAATATAATTACTCTGACTATTTACCCAGCTCATTTGAGAAGATTCAGGCTAACATTTGTATGCAGGATGGTGATCTTGGTCATACGGCAGAATTAGTACAACTTTGGCATTGTGATTGTAAAGATAACTATTTTAGGGACTGGCTGGGTACTAGTCTGGGCCTAAATCCCATAGAAAATTTACAGTCGATTATCAAATGGCGTATGAGTGACACTGACACGTCAACCCTCCCAAATCTGGAAACTGTAATCCCAGGATGCTTGAGCCTTATTTCCCATGACAGCTTCACAACTGAGCTGATTTGGTCCCTAGGTGGCTGGCAGAATGCTTGAAGCACTAGGGCAATGCCATGAACTATTAATAATATCATATTCAAGTAACAAGCAGATAAATAACTAATTTGATTTTTTTTCTCACCTAATGCTTACAATTCTGAACAGACTGCATGCACTATTGCCAGGAACAACAGACAACACAAATAATAAAATGTTGCACAAGGTGATTTTTAGAAAGTAGTAACAAATGCCTTTCACAAGAATTTTCTGAATGCAGATACTACAGGACAGTATTTCCATCTGAGACAAGTCTGTCTGAAGATGCATCTAGTCTCGAGCTTGCAGGATGGGATAAAGATTGCTGTCTTTGCCCTCCAGGTTAGGAAACCTATAGCTCTGGTATTGTTCTCCTGTACAACATCCATCATCACATGAGATGATGGATTGCAATATTTTCAATAAATTTATACTGGTCAGCTGATTCATGGTGATGAGGAAATTCCAGGACCAGTTTGTGAATGATCTGCTTTGGATCAATGGCACAAATAGGCACTGAATTGTAAGCACCATGCAAATAGCAGAAAGAATCACATGTCAGATGAAGTCCCAACTTGTGAATAAAAGGATCAAATCACAAACCATAACACAAGACTCCTATATCCTTCTCAGTTTACAATATCTGGTTCAAATAAGTGAAGTAATGGTGATCCCCACTGTGCATTAAAGTTATACTGACCATAAACAAACTATTCCACAGAGACAAAAAATCTGTTATGAAACTTACTACATATTCTGCATGACAATTTATCTTTGCTGAAATTTCAATACTCCTTCCTAAAACTGGTCTTTTGATAATGAAACACAATATACTGATATAAATGACAATTCAACAATAATATCTGCTTCTGAAAGGCCTACAGTAACATTTTCTCCTCTACAGAATATACTGAACCTTTGCCACAGTATCCTAGTAACAAATAATAATAATTATTGTTATGATAGCTATTACTCATTTTTTAGGGTAAGGTATACAGAGAGCAACAATGAAAAGATTGAGAATTATACCACCAAAGATGTCAGCAGATGTCAAATTACAGCTAAGAAAGAGAGAGAAGATAAAAAATAAAAAAACAAACTCTTAAACTCATCAAGAGGCGAAGTAAAAATCTCCAATGACAGAAGCCTACAAAGACAAGAGAAAAAGCACCAAGAAGACTGACATTTGCATCAAATAAATGATGTGAGTGGCACACAACACACCCCTCCATAATATCACAAACAGCTGACTGACCATGAACCCATACATTGCTGGACTTGGAGGTGTTGCTGTTTATAAGTCAACACCATCACCTTGGAAACTAAAACAATCCTCCATTTATTTATGTTTGCCTATTAAACTGTGTTATATCAACATGATGCATAAATGCTACTGATCACATACTTCAGGCTAACTGGCAACAGCTCTCAATTTGCTAATATTTGTCCAAAGATAATCATTATTTTTCACAAACATCTGACAAATAGTTGCATGACATACAAATGTAATAAGACACAATGCCCCTGACAAGAATGGTGAGGGAGATAAATATGAGTGAGGTAGTATACCAAGGATTTGTGCAAGCAGAATGTGAAGAAAAACATATACAGGCACAAATACTAGTGCAAACACACTCACAATCATGTGCCGCATCAGGTTACCTCATGTGAAGGTCACTGAGACATGTGCTACATGGCAGGTAATTCCAACAGATTTATTAATAAATTTTGACATTTTTATAAATTCCTACACTTGTGCAATCATCCCAATTATATTATGCAGCCATATTTACTACACATTTCCCTTTCTCTCTATCTCTTTTTCTTCTCTTCTCTCTCTTTCACTTTAGTCTTTCTAATTATATATATAAAGATTGTACATATATATAATACACAATTCTGTGGTACTTGCAAAACTGGAAAACACTGAAACAGATTTAATATACCCCAACTGTACCTGGCCTCTGACTTAATTATGTACCTTGCTCTACATGTGCACTCACAGGATATCTTCCATTTCTTTTCCTTTATGTTCATCAATTATCTACTGTCTAACCCAAGCCCTACAAGGGACTCTCTGCTGATGATGGCTCAACTTGCAGACTATTTAATACACAAATTGACTAGAGAACTTAAAGACTGATGATTTAAACAGAGCTGACGTCATTCTCCATACAAATGTCATCCCATGCCAAGTTACTGATCACGAACTCATGACGATGACACCTAACAGACTATAAAGAAATCAAAGTGACAAAAAAGTCATCCAGTATTTGTTACTTAACTATGATTCTCAGCCACTAATAGCCTAAGAATCAACTCTTCCACAAATTATGCAAACAGAAAATGTAGACAAGCAGGTAAATGTCTTCATAGAAGTGATTAATGATAGTATAGATGCCATAGTAACAACACACGTGAAGCTCTCAAAAATAAGAGATCTGATATGGCCCTTCTGGGTGATTATAAGCAAAAGAAGAGGTGTTAAATCACTGAACCAAGGAGCCAAAACCTATTATTACAGATATTACCTAATTATAAAAACGACTGCTAAAATATAGAGGATAGTTAAAACACTAATGACTGACAAAAAGCATCGTAAAGATATTAATTTAAATTCCAGTATTATTACAAATGATTTTAAGAATTTCTTTACTAATTGGAAAAGCCACATATGACTTCCTACCTCTCAGCAAAATACAGGTACGACCAGGCCCATCCCCCTCCCCCCAATATTTTCAGACCACAAACAGTAAAAATAGAAAAGTAATCCTTACAGTAAAACACCTACGTAACACTAATGCCATGGGATCAGATGGTAATGCCTTTTTATCTGGCATCATTAACCCAAGTATATTCGCCGATGATATTCCATTGCTTTGGAAACATGCCATTAAAAAAACAATTTTCAAAGCCAGAGGCAGATAAAGTAAATACCTATTACCCTATGCAGTCTAACATTCTTGATAAAATTGTAGCAGACCAACTGATGATATTTCCAGAGACCAATGATCTATCCAAAACACAACATCATGTTAGAAGTAACCTATCTAATGAAACAGCATCATTGCAAGTCACAAATTAAATTTATGATAATATACATAACAATCTATTATGCTGGCTTACATCATGTGATCTATCCAAGGCTTTTGATAGTGTTATTAGTAAACTAATAAATCACAAAATCGATATATATATATTGGTTAAGAAGTTATTCAACTAACAGAACCCAATCATCAAAATTCATACGATTATATCAACATTACAGTTTGTATCTTTCGGTGTTCCACAAGGATCAATACTAGGCGTAAAGTAAACTAAACTGTTAAAAATAAAATCCCTACTGAAGGGCAGATTTCTGTTATATGAATATTGCCTCTCATATTGTTCTCTATTGCTCATATGGGGTTCACCAACTAAAAGTCAAATTAAGACAACTCAAAATCACAAGACTGCTGTGAGAGTAGCACTTGACTATGTTAAGAAGATAGAAGAAGAAGAAGGAGGAGAAAAACAAAGAAAGTGAGACAGGTGAGGTCATGAGGTCTACTAATTAACTCCATGGTGGATTAACACTTGTGGGGCTATCTATGTGTAGACATTTTAAACAACAATACAACAGTCAACTTCCCCATTATCCACCACTTGGCAACACCTTCATGTCAACCTCCCCTCGGCAAAATCCTGGTATTAGGCTTCCTTGAGTGCCAACTCTCCTGGGTGTGTGGCTTGTAAGCCCAGCCTATGCGGTTACTCATGTGGTTTCAACACTCATTGCCTCCTATTTGCAATGTATAATCTCATTTCCTACATTTTTCTTTTATCCCCCCCCCCCCCCCAATAGCATTTATTATGCTGTATCAAGATGATAAAACACTTATTTTGAGAAGACTGTATACTGTCCTCAGGTACTCTACCCTTTAGGCAATAACAAAAAGAACAAGTAACACCATGTTATTTTCCATTTTTTCTATTTTCATATTATTAAATGTTCTGTAACAAATCCTATGTTGGTGGTCACAGTAGTTGGGAATAGGATCTCGAACACGTAAAGTGTCTCCCTGGAGCTCTGCCCTTCCAGCCATGGCTCACACATAGTACATTCCACCCTCATTTACTGATGAATATAATGCAAGAGTCCTTTCCTAAATACCTACTGTGTCTAATCATCCTCCAAGAGCTTTGTCCACTTACATCAAGTCATTCCTAGCATCTGTGCCCTCAGACAGCACATTCGCGTCACCCCAGCACACGACCAAAATTTTTTAGACACTGGCTGATTGAGGTAATATCTGAATCATCTGGAGAAAATATTCCCACTGATGATGAACACAGATACATTATTGATGTTGTTGTTTTTTTTAATTCATTTTTCCCTCCTGAAATTTGTTTGCATTGTTCTCATTATTCCCTATATACATGCCAAAAATTTCACCTACCTGGTCACACTGGTCTAGGTCGATTTTGCCCTTCAATTTTCGGCAAGTCCGATCTGTGTAATACTCCAGGAAGTACTGCCCTGGGAGCTCCCCAGAACGCAGTACGAACCATCGCATTCGCCATTTCTGGAATTCAACATACTTTATAATATTTGCATGTTAAATGAAACATCTAATTCTTGTTCTCTTTACACTAATTTCTTTTGTAAGTTCTTCAACATTAAGTTAATAAGCTCTGCAAACAATTTACTGCACATCTGCAATAATGAAAAGTAATATTTTTCTGTAGAGGAGGAGGAGGAGGAGGAGGAGGAGGAGAAGAAAACAGGTACTACTTTTGGCTGCTATGATATCAACTTGTGAGGAAAAATAAAATACTGTCAAGCACAACAAAAAGCGGAGAGATTATTGAAATACGGCCAGACAGGAAACTCTACTTTTCAATGCATAGCAGCCAATCTAAAAATAACTATGTAGATTAACCCCCCCCCCCCCCGAAGCATCATCATGTAAAATGGAAATTCTTTCTAGTGTTTGGAACCAAGATCTCTTTATATGCATGAGGTTTTTAGATCACTTCTTGTAGTTTGACAAGAAAAAAGGCTGGCAGGTAATGGGTTAAAAGAGTTACATAATAAAGGCATAACCCTAAATGTTTTCTCTTTTTTCTTTTTATCTACCACGTATTATCATCTGTGCTTTACTGTATATGAAGCCCAATAACTTATTGGTATAACTGTGTCATCTTTAAAGGAATATGAATGGTCAAATAAGTTTTCCACAAGCACATTTCTTAAACTAGGAAAGAATAGGCAGAAAAGGCATTGGGAAGAGACAGAATAAGCTTCCGACTCTTACTGTTCGATACCTTGAAATGTTACTGAATATTATATGACACATTTATTCTGAAAAGGTGAACGATCCATGCTGCATTTCACACTGTATTTTCTGAAGTTAATGCCACTGAAATTTAATGCACCACCCTGCTAATACATAGTAGAGAAGACTGCAAATCACAGTGTTCTATGAGTATTACTTCTTGAAATAATATTGGCACCAGCAAGAAGAAGTTGTAGAAGAAGAAAAAGAAGGAAGGGGGGAAAAAAAGTGAAAACTTTATTCTACATACACAACCCTAGGAAACACTCCTCATTTATGCTATTAATGAAGCCCTGATGAAGACTGAAAAGGTCAAGTATTACTTAAAGGGTAGAGAGAAAATTACAAGTGTGTCTGCGGCTTGAAATGGTGGCCAGATACTCTCCATAACGCTTGGGAATATCACACAAAATAACCAAATGCAGATCATGTAATGGGGAAAATAACACAAACATACAATTACTGCTAAAACCACATTTTGTTACCTAACTACACACTAAGGGATTGTCCATGCATATATGACCCAAGAATAATAAACCAGTCATATCCCTACATCACACAGAATAATAATAATTCTGGTAAAATTTCCAATAACAATTAATACAAGACATCAATTTTATCAATATGTACCCAAAATTAATGATAAAACACCTACAGAATAATACTTTGAAACTATCCAGGATAGGATTGTACCAGATGGCGATGTGATTGCCATGCTTTGTGATGGAAAGGCCTACATAGCACCAAGAGGAATATTCTGGCAAGATGAATGACTACATTGGTTCTTTATTTGACATTAAACTGCCTGGTCTAGAAGCAGTATGTTATTAGAATATATATATGACAGATGTAATCTGGTCTGTGCCAAGGTGGGTCTGGTCCAAATCATAATAAGGACTCATTTCAATGCTTTGATTGCTAGTACATAAAATGTCCACTCTATTTTTTTTTATTTATTTTTTATTGGATTTTGTTGGATACAAATGGCTCCACAAGTGCTTTTCCAACAAGGAAAAAATTAGTAGGAACCATGTGACTTCAATTTATGTTCCTTATAAATTTTTGGGAAAAAGTTTTTTTTCTAATGATATCTATATTTACTTTAGTTACTGACATGTTTATTATATATTCAACAATACTATCAACACTAAAGAGATAAAATGAATCTCTCAAAAATACTATCAGCACTAAAAAGATAAAATGAATCTCACAAAACATCAAGGAAAAGTGTAAACAGGTGAGATAGGTAGGACTAGCGACCAACCCCTTGGTGACTAAGCACTTATTCAGCCATCTATGTATAAAAATATTAACAAATAATCACAAATGACACGGCAATTGACAGCACAACATAATGGGTTTATCACTAATCCTTCACTTGCACAGTTCAATTTATGTAACAGAGTATCATTTCCTTTCCTTTACAAGATAACACTGCTTCTTAAATAATATATTTGCATGGTATTTACTCAGACAATTATCTGCATTTTTTCTTACACACCCTCTAGTTTAAGTAAGGGATGGCCGTTAATATGTAAAACGATAAATTTAACTTCTAGTGTTTTGTGATAATGCCTCACACACTGCCCTATTTACTCAAGCACTTTAACCTAGTATAGCCTTTGTTGGAAATTCAACTAAACATGGATTTTTCTTTTGCACTTGCCGCTACTCTCAATATATATAAGATCCCATTTTACTTCCGTACATACTTTCTCTTTTAGAGCAGGAGGAGGAGGGGGGGGGGGGGGAATCCTACATTTACGGGCACAAAGACAAAAGAAAGAAATTCAACTTCCCGTTTTTGGGTCACATTCATAAATTTCTAGAGCTTATTGTCGCTATATTAAGAGGCAGTCAATGCGCATGATCTAACTCTCCCTTAGGCCTGGAAAATGGACACCTCAGGGGGGGAACAGGCAAGACTACTGCTGCGAACTCGATTGGGCTCGACTTTTATAAACCTCATAGGCCTACAACACGCGTCTAAAAAAAAAACAACAAAAAAACCTCCCACTGCATAATTTTCAGAAGAATTCCGCATTTCTCCCCTCTCCCTTCCTCTCCCACGCCCTACACAACGTAGACTCACAAAAATCCTGCTCGTGATCACATCGCGCAGCAAAACAAACGAACCTCCTCCTCAAAACACGGAGATTGACTTAAAAAAGCGGAGATTGACTTAATAAAGCGGAGATTGACTTAATAAAGCGGAGATTGACTTAATAAAGCGGAGATTGACTTAAAAAAGCGGACATTGACTTAAAAAAGCGGAGATTGACTTAAAAAAGCGGAGATTGACTTAAAAAAGCGGAGATTGACTTAAAAAAGCGGAGATTGACTTAAAAAAGCGGAGATTGACTTTAAAAAACGGAGATTGACTTAAAAAAACGGAGATTGACTTAAAAAAACGGAGACTGACTTAACGCAAGGGGTGGTATAGACGCTAAAATCCCCGGCATGCTTAAGGTAAACAAAAGATGAGAAAGGGGGGGGAGGGTGACAAGAGGCAGAGAGGGATTGGGATGAAAAATAAAGGGTGAGAAAGGGAGAAGAGGAAGAGGGAGAGGGAGAAGGAAAAATAGGAGAGAGAGAGAAGACTGACAGATAGACAGACAGAGAAAGAGAATGAAAGAAAGAGAATGAATGAAAGATAGAAAGAGATAGAAAAGACAAACCAACCTCCCCTCACCCCCCCCTCAAAAAAACAAAACAAACCCGAATGACACAAAATCTTGACACAACCCTCCCCTCCCCCCCACCCCCCCCCAAAACCCCAAGCCCCGAAAACACCCAACCCCCTCCCGCCCGCCCCTACCCCCCCACCCCCTCCCGCCCGCGCCCCTACCCCCCCTAGCCCCATCCGGCCCCCCCAGACTACGCCGAAACCAGCCGCTACTCACCGCCCGCCAGAGCCTCTTGGGCGGCGGCGACTTCTTGAGCATCCCCTCGTGCACGACCTCCATGCTGCCAGCGACCGTGTGGGCGTGCGGGGGGGGCGGCGTGCTCCACCATCCTCGTCCCGAAGGCGTCGCTGGCCTCCCGTCTCCTTCCCCCCCCACCAAAAGGGCCCTTTGGGGGGTGCTTCCGTCCTCTTATTTCTCTTGTCTCTCTTTATTTCTCCTTTCTCTTTCCTTTTTCTCTCGTTCTCAGTCTCGGGCCTTCGGAAAAGAGGGAGAAAGGAGGGAGAAGAAGAGAGAGATCGCTCGCCTCGCACGCCCCTCGCTCTCGTCGCCCATCGTGTGCGCTGATTGGCTGGCCG